GTGATACTACCATGGTCGGCGTTACGAAAATCGTAGGAAGCGGTGGCAGGTGAAATATTAAAATCATGCATCAGCTTAGTACTTAACGTCACCAGTACCGGCGGGCGGTGACGATCCAGTCTCACCAGAGGAGTGGGCGCCTCGCATAAGAAAGGAGCCATGTCCTGGGTGGTTACAAAACAAAGATCCAAACTGCGGTTGTTCTGGTTAATAACATGGTTGATTTGAGAAAGAGTGGCTGAGCTGTAATTGTCCAGAAGGAGCGAAGTGTAGGAATGGATGACAGAGTGATCCATGTCAGGATAGAGGAAGCCGTTGCGAGTTTTTTTTTTTCCATGAAATCCCCGGGAGATTGAAGTCACCAAACACAATAACTTCATCGGTTGCTTTGGTGGTATCCAGAACAGAAAAAAAACCGATTGGCAATGGGTTTCGATGAGGTCACGCTCCCGTATACGGCCGGGAGGAAAGTAAACCGCACAGAGAAACAAGGTACGATCGCCCAGTTTAATCGACGTCCACACCTGCTCTAAGCATGTCCAAGCATTATTTTCTAGTAACCTCGCTCTAAACCTAGAATGTATAGCCACTAAAACACCTCCACCTTTAACTTTCCGACTATTAGCAGCATTCCTATCGCAACGGAAAACTTCATAATCGTCGCCGGACACCTGACGAGAGAGCGTGCGTGAATCCAACCATGTCTCCGTGAGAATAATGATGTCGTAGCAAAGATCCGAGGTAGCTACGCGAAAATCGTCAACATCACAGTTGATACCACGGACGTTCTGATAATACAGCAGCAAGTCTGAAGGAACAGGTATAGTTTCAATACGTCCTAGAATCTGAGCAACTTGCGAAGGATGCCTTGATGGTGCAGGCGAATATTGGCTGGAAGCAATGAGCGGATCAGGAGTTGTTGAATCGATAGCAGAAGTTGACTTGCCTATGCTGTCGAGTTGGAAGACCCTTGCACTACTCTCACACGCAGGGCCGGAGCGACTGCTGAGTGCTGGCTGGAATGGCTCGACTGCGGTGTGAAGTACAAGGGCTTCCATGAAGCCAACTTCGGTGCGTCCCAGTGTACAGCTGCCTAACTGTGGCTGATAAGAAAAGTCAAATGGAATTTGCTGGACTGGCAAAGAGTTTGGATGAAGTTCGGTAGAGACAAGTGAAACATGTGTCAAAGAAGATGGCAATGACGAAACCGGCCATTCAGGAACAGGTTGGTTGACGAGCTCTGTGCAGCGATGGGATTTGTCACTTATTATGTCATGGCGTTGTCTTGGTGATCCGGGTAATTGGGTGACTCCATGCTGGGGGATACATTGGCATTTGGCGTTCGAGAAGGGTTACAAAAATTTGTAACATTCCTGTTGTCCTTGAACTCACGGAATAGTATTCCCTTTGGCCACGTTGCAGTCAAAAGAGCCTTTGCTTTCAGCTCAGGACTCATACCGAGTTTGAACGAAATGAATGACAGACTGCTGACATTCTTACCATTGGCGAACTAGTCTGAACGTCTCAACGTCATTTATTCCTAACCTCTGCATCGCCAGTTCAAGTACTTGCTCCACTGTGACGTCACGAAAGATACGCGAAAGGTAGAGCCAAAACTTCTGCCTTGGAGGTGGTACAGCAAAAGTGCCGATAGATGGAGATATTGAGCTTGCAGTTCCACACATCAAATCCTGTTGATGGCGTTCAGCAGCTTCAGCTTAACGGAACAATCGTCGGCTTCGCATAGACCCAGCGGTATTCGTATTACGAGTTGATGATTTTGTTGTAAGTGCACTGGAATTGATCAAGCGGTGAAGTTCAGACGAAGTTCACTTTTGAGTTTATTCATGATTTCCGACTTAATTCTTTGAACGATCTCATTATGATCGCCAAGGACATGTTATTGCCCAGCCTCATAAGCGCCTCGAATGGAATTGCGGAAACGAATGTCATCCATTAATTTGGTACACGACCTGCACATCCAGAACAACTGCGAGTTCATTTTCATCTCATCGTTAACAGCTGAAGTGATATTGACGCATTTGAGGTGAAATTCCGCCATGCAGAAGCCGCTGCATGAAATGGAATCGTCAATGACATCAGTAGCACAGGAGTGGCAAGTAGAAGTCATTTTCAGGATTGAGGTAATTCTCAGGATTTGATGCGATTGCCAAAGCAGCGCTACTACACAGTTTAAAGTAATGCGCCTAGAGTAGTATGCAACAATAGAGCAGGTAAGCTTGACGGCGAATGTGTAATACAACGGTGGAATCCAGGCGATAGCAATGCGCCAAAATGTTTGCAACAGCTCCACCACGAGCTCAACAAAAGCTCGCAAGCTTCAAAATTTTGCTGGTATATGGCGCTTCGAAAAAAAAATCGCGTGGCGTTTGCTTAAGAAAGTGTTTGTAAACAATGTTCAAAATGCTTCACTTTCACTTTAAAACAGCACCACGAAAATACAACACACCGAAAGAAATTCACGGCACTTGAATGCAGTAGCACATAAACTGACGATCGAACGATGAAGGTATAATTTATAACCTTAATAACAACATAAACAAGTGCAATTTATTAACGATTAAACGCAGCGGTAAACGTAGCTAACAGTGTTGCCGTCGTTTCCTTTCCTTTTTCTTCAAGAAAAGATATAGCATGTTAGCTGGAAACGTTATCCAACCAATGATATACAATTTAGTCACGGTTTGGTTAATTTTTGCCCACTGTGCATATCTCTGATCTATTAGTAAACAGTTGACATTTTGAATTAATTAATCGTATGGATCACCCTAATGTATCGCATCAAAAGATTGACTGAAATAAATGGAAAAAAAAAAATCCCCAGAGACGCTATTGTGCTTCTCGAGAATTTCTTGCATTTTCTGATTTTACCTGAGTTGTGCACTAAGGTACTTTATATATAATTGGACATGCATCAAAATTGCTGGCTATAAAAGAAGGTGACTTTATTTAAAACGATGCAAACATAGCTTTAGAATTCAGTAAGGCATTACATACTTATGTTACAAGCACTGAAACAAAATTACTTCATAGCCAACCAGAGACAAGATTTTTCTTGGAAACCTTAAACGTTTGTTTAGGTTTAATAAAAAGAGGTACGTACAACATTTTGATGATCAACGGGCGTGTAAAAACCATATTGCTATCTCTTTTTTTCTTACGCAAATTTTATTCGTTTTCTTAAAGAAGCGATAGCAATACAATTTTACTCAGCCTCTGAGCTACTGTCATCGACCATGTATCAACCCAAGCAAAGTCTGAGATCAATTTGAAATCTAAATTTGATGTTGTGATTTCGCTGATAGTGGTTACACAGGTTGCTGTCGTTTTGCTCGTTTTAACGGTTAGAATATCAAAATTGAGAGCAAACAAATCTTCCTGTGACATCACTTCTCTCAAAACTCAATTTGATATCAATTTTTCATGTTGATAACAAAACAAGTATTCTATTTGATGTTATGCTAAGGCAATGAAAACAAACCCGCAACAACATATTTTTGAAGAGCAAATGTACAGCAAAATGAAAACAAAATTGGGCATCAAATTTGTCAATTGCGTAAACTGAAATCAAATTATGATTTCAGTTTGATGTTGATATCAAAACTTGATTTCAATTTGCTGTTATTTTGATGCTGGACTTTGCTCGGGAACTGTGTGCATGAATCAGTGGCGAGCAACTTGTTTGGTGGTCTGTGAATTTTAGAAAATATTCGCAATATTACCCTGAAAATAATGGTTCAGACGCAAATAATTCATCCCTCCTAAATACGGCGTCCGAACCACTTTACAAGGGTTAAAGCAGTTCTGTAAATTTTCATATCATTCGATTGAAGATGAACCATGGTTGTATTCAGTCAATTCTGTGTAAACGAATTCTCACATGACCATTATTTGAAGAGCCCCTTTCTCATTCGAAACTCATTGTCACTGTCAATTGAGTCACTCAGTATCATTTGATATACGACAGTGGAGTATGGAAGATATACAGCAAAATGGTCCCGAATAGACAAGTCGACCCGATGTCGGATCAATGTGAGGCTAATTTAAGATCGATGTCGACCCGATGTCTTGTTGTTTTCGGGTCAATTTTGAGTTTATGTCGGGTCAATATCGGGTCAACATCGGGTTGGGGTTTGATAGAAGTCAGGTTGGTGTCGGGTTGGCTTCGCTTTTTCGCCGGAATGTCGACCAGAGCTCCGTTTGTGTGTAGGTTACACTCAATTAACCACTTTATTCGAGCAGTCAAAATGACGTTTACTACCACTCGAACTTTGATATAAAACATTATTTTGAGATTTTTTCTTCTAGAACCACGAGAAAAGTAGCCAACATTTGTGCGTTTCATGAAAAAATTAAATTAGCTGGTCCAGATTTGTGAAATCGCTGGTAGAAAGTCACGCCAAAACTGCTTGACAAAGTGGTCAATTGAATGATATATAGCGTTTCTCAAATGAGAATGATCCATGCCTTCGTCAAATGACTAAGCAACTGATATCATCCATTCGGAGGAGGTCCCCTTTGATAACGAATAGCTACTTTTCTCATTTTCATCAAAAATGTTCAAATGATATTGAGAATTTACAGCACTAGGTCAAAGTATTGACCAAAAAACATTCAGAATGTTCGTAAATGCAGCAAATGGAATGTGGCTAAGTTTGGCGGACGAATTCCAAAAGAAAAACACTTCAATGCTCAGTTGAAAGGTTTGTTCCATTTTGTCTAGAAATATTAAGAGTAGTTAACGACCCTCCATGTCATCATTATCACCCATTATACCCGCAACCTTGTCAACCACGTGCTTGCGTACTCGACCAAGCGAGTCTGAGTTTTCATTCTCGTAACAACAGTCCAGAAATGCATCCTAGAAATCCCGTTCCACTTAGCAAACGGAAAAATAAATAGCGTGCTGCATCGCAATGCAGGATGATATTATGAATATGGAAGCAGATCCTGAAAATAATGGTGACAATGAAACTCACCTTCCGCCGTCTGCAAGCCAATGAGCTCCGAGTATTCGCCCTCGCCGGTGCTGTTGAAGGCCTTCACGCGGGCGTTGTACATCGAGTTGAAGTGCAGCCCATCGACGGTGCAGATTGTCTCTTTTCCGCAGTACACTTCCTGTGGGGTTTTTTTTTTCAAAGTTAGGGTAAATTTTCCGCAAACCAGGATCCGGAGCGAGCGGGAAAAGCGTTTCCAGCAGGAAATAGAAGAGCAGAAAAAATAGCATGATTATATGTGGTATGGGAATATGATGAAAATGAATGGGGAATATAAAAACCAGTCGTGGTTGAAATTCTAAAGCGAAAGGTTTCACTGGAGGGGACGTATTTTAGCTGAAAAACGAGATCATCCTTATAATTATTCATCTCGGGTAGTTGGTTTATTTAAGTGTGAAATGGTTGCTAGTAAAATGCAATTAACACTCCAAACGGAAATTTCACGGACAACCTCTCATATGGTAGGTTACCAAAACTGCAGACTAACCATCCATGGTTGAAAGTTTCGGTAAAAAAGTTTAAAAAAAGTAACGAAAACCATAATACATTTAAACATTACACATGAAAATTAGAATTTAAAAAAAAATACGAAAATTAGACGAAAATTATAATTATATCAATCAGTGGTAGACATTCGTTTAGCCGAAACCCAGTTTTTCTATGTATATCGAAAGTAATACACAATGAATGCTCGGATTTGGTCTTGTACGATAGATTTCATTTATTTCTAACAAATTCATTAATAAAACTTGAAATTACGTTACGTTTGGATAACAAAATTGAAAAAAAATATCGGTACACGGGTAGACATTCGTTTAGCCGAATTGTTAAATTTCACCATGAAGATGACTTTTAATAAAGAATTTCGAAGAAAATCGATAGTAAATACTTAGTATGGCCGCCATCGTTACGAATCACTTCAAAAATACGGTTTGGCATCGAATCAGACAGCTTTTGCAGTGTTGCCATGTCGATTTTGGCCCAACAATCTTGAACTGCTGTTTTAAGACTGGAAATGCTGTCAAACTGACGTCCGTTTGCGTAAATCATTCCAACCAAGATTCCCCATAGGTTTTCTATGGGATTACAATCAGGACTGCAAGCTGGCCAGTCCAGCAGTGGAATGTTTTTTTCATCAAACCAAGCCTTGGACTGTTTGGAGACGTGGATAGATGCATGGTCCTGGTGAAAAACGATGTCCTCATTTGCGTCGTTTTCAATATGACCCGATCAAAACGTCATCCAGTAGCTCCAGGTACATTTCGGAATTCATCCGGGTTGAGATGAAACAAATCGGAAGCTTTTCATGGCAGGAAAAGCCAGCCCATACCATCAAACTTCCACCACCAAAGATTCGTTTCGATCTAACGACGCTGGTTTGATTCAAATCGTGCCAGTAGCAACGATAACAATCAGGCCCGTCTAAATTAAACTTTTTCTCGTCAAAAAACACAACACTACGCCATTCCGTCTTCCACTCCATGTACTTCCGGGCGAACTTCAGCCGATTCTGCTTATGAGTGAGATTGAGCTTCAGTTTTCCTTATAGTTTCTTCCACTTGATGTTTGGCGATTCATTCAGAATCCGCGCAATTTGTCGGGAAGTAACCGGAACATCAAGCTTTTGCTTTATTTGGGAACAGGACAATCGATTCTGTGTTGCTTCATGCCTGATTTGACCTTCATCCTTAACGATACTTTGGTGCGCCCTTTGGTGGAACGTTTAATGCCATATTTCGAACCCATTTTGAGGAAATTCCTTACTGCTTTCTCAGATCGACCAATTTTTCGGGCCATTGAGACATTCGAGTGGCCGTCTTCCTTGAACAATTTTATAATCCGCCGTTCTTCCTCCGTCAGTCGGGCACCCTTCGCCATTCCTGAAACTATTACATTTGTCATTAATCAATAAAAATTAAACACCGCATTATTGACGCACCTTGTTGATTTTAAGTTGTTTTATCGAAATGCTTTAAAACACACTTGAAAACCGCGAGATATTTGCCAAAAACAAAACTTTTTCGCACCTCGGCTAAACGAATGTCTATGGTGAAAAAGCTGTTTGAATGTTTACATCCGCCGCTACCGGTTTGGTGAGTGTGTGCGTGCGACTCGTTCCTCTCTCACCAAAGTGATGCAGATACACTACCACTACGACAAATCATATCCCGAATAAAAACATGTTTTAAATATAATTTTTCAATATTTTCAAAATGTTTAGCTCTCGGCTAAACAAATGTCTATAACTGGTATGGGTATTTGAGGGCACACAGCACTTCCACAAGAATACCCAGAAAAGCGGTGAAAGGAAGCAACCCTGGTGGGTGGTGCCGTCCACCCACCGCTTTTTCTCGGCTGTCCTTCAATCAATTTAGCTGATTTTCCCTAGATGAATAGTTTATGCACAGACAAACAGACGTAACACTTTGAAAAAGTTTTTCTTGAAAACATAGTATCTCAAAACATAGGTCCTCAGTAACGACATCTCTCTGGCTTCTCGCGGAAAACAAGCTTGCTCGCTAACTCGCAAACAATATTGCATAAAATTTCTATAGAATGCATAGAAACGTCAAAGTGATCCGATGCCAGCGCTGCGGCGAGTAGTTCGCGGAACTGATAATATTCAAATCAACCGTTAAATGCGTGAACGAAGATACACAATGAAGTGTTACGTCTGTTTGTCTGTGGTTTATGGTTGATACTATTCACACCCAAAAAATCAGCTCAATCGGTTGAAAAACAGCCGACAAGAAGCGGTGGGTGGAATACACCACCGCTTTTCATGGGATGTGTGTATGTTGTCATGTGTCAACAATAGGTTTGTTCTCGTCTTTGCTTTTCTGTAATATTATCTTCAGCAAAAAGCAATAAGGTGTACTAAGGGAAGTGGGACCGGGAAAATCAACAGTTGGAGCAACAGATTGGAGCCTGCTGCTCAAAAACAGTGTTCAGGGATGGATCGCTTTCTTAGGGTGTTATCATTACTTATTGATATAGAATGATTACGCTGAAACCAATTGAATTTTCAGTTAATCCACACAGATAAAAATTCTGAATTTTAATAGTGATGTAAACATTCATTCACGTAAACTTGTATTTCATTTCACGCAACTGAGCAACTTGTAAACAATGTTGTTTACAACAATGGGCTTTTGCATACAATATTTGCTGCATTGAATGAAATGTCTCAGAACTTTACATGATATATGATGTAAACCTATATAATATGTGACGCTCCATTTATGTGCATCATACTAAAATGAAATTTACACTACTTTAAATTTTAAGGTGCACACTTAAAATTTAAAGTTAAGTGCTATTAATGTCCCTATCAAAATTCAAAATTTCCACAGTGAAGAGCTGCACTCTGTATTTTCACAGTTACACATGATAACGCTCTCGTGTGGCCCTACGGTGCAAAAATTTAGCATATTTAAAGAGAGATTAATAGCATCAAACTATTTATATAACGATGGGTTAACTGAAAATTCAACTGGGTTAACGTTAGCATTCTATAATAAATATTTATGAAAAAACTCAAAAGAGCAATCCTTCACTGACAGTGTTTATCAAATTTAAATCTTGAATTGTTTGTTAGTCCCAAAACAGAATGTGATTATAAAAAATAGAAAAAGGCAAAATGGTAAGATATTCGCATGCATTGTGAAAAATTGCTGTTTTCTCCACATTCCCCCGGATATGATGAGGTAAGAGTGATCACATGGCTTAACTCCCGAGCAAAGCTGGAGATCAAATTGAATTCAAAGTTTGCTGTTATGATGTAACTTATTTTTAATACTCCCAGGTGATCTTATTTTGACATAATGGTTAACACAGCAAAAATGAGAGCAAAATTTTACACTATTGACGCAAACGGAAAACCAATCCTGCTGTCAATTTAATCAATTTGATTACTGTTTCTGCATTCATAATGTGTAACTGAATACGGGCCTGGTGTAATTCGTTAGTAGGGTTAACTACCCCTAATCGGGCCTATTACAAGCACAACCCGCACTAAGTCTTTCTTAATATAGCAGTTTAGCACCAAACGGAATGTTATGATTAATTATGGCTTCCAAGTTTATTTACCTTTCCGTGCGTACCGGAAGATTTGATAAAGAGAAACAAATTGTTGATATATTGTTTAAAATCTAACACTGCTTCTTGACGCCAAACTCGGCCTACGGATTCTGAACTCGGCCTAACGTCGCCGTTGAAACGCCAATGAATTCACTTCGGCCTATCGGATGAAGATACAGATTTATTGGGTCGCTCTGACGCTTCATTTGTATTTGAGAATATTGGGTGCAACCATTCATATCACGCATTCTTATTGACTTCGTTCGGTAGCATTTGAACTAGAGTATCGTACCAAACGCATAATTTACCAGTTAACGCCGAAATCATGGATTTATTTGATGTTTTCTGCTTCATAGGCCCAAAATGCGCGCTTAGGCCGAAGTAGTTCTCTACCCTATCCATGCTTCTCACGCTAAAAAATGAGAGCTCAAATCTCACCCCGGGCAAGTCACGAATGACCTAAAATATGTTAAACAAAGCAAATAAACAATAATCATTAATTCAACGACAGATGAACTTAAATAACATTTTAAACAAAACAGCAGAACTTCAAGTTAAGTTGCTTTCATTTAAAAATCATAATGAAAGCACAATATGATGGGGGAAATGGATGTAATGTCGGCCCAAATGCCCCTAATTTGGGCCCATACATAAATTCAGCGATCGGCTAAATTTTCAATAGCGTCCAAAAATATCCATTAATACCGTCCCAATGACGCGTTCATCTAGATAAAATTGATAAATAGGAGATTTTTAGCGATGGGCCCAATCCTAGATCCATATGCCAACATAAGAGCCATTTCCCCTACTAGACTTATGTCGCGAGAATTGAAATCAAAATGAGTTTTCATGAGGATAGCAACTGCAAACTTTAATATCGATTTGCTTTCATTTTGATAACCGACTTTCCTCGGGTTGCTTGTCATGATTTGGATTTACAACTTTATGACTCTGAAATTAAGTTATTCATAAAAGAATGTAGGATAAATGACGGCTTCGGCAATAGCTTATTCTATTACCGTCATACCCCCCTGACGATAA